CAACACCAAGCCAAGGGTTGAGATCCCCTTACCGGTCATCTTTAAAAAAAAAAAAAATACATGTTTAGTAAAGAAGTTATTGTTACAGCTATACCAGAGTAATTGGAGGCATTTTATAATTTCTTGCGAAATTATATACTTTAATATTAAACAGGAGCATGAAAAATAACGTTCCTCCAATCATGAGTGCACAAAGTAACAGAGCATGAATGAACAATGCTTCATTTGTATAAGCACAAAGTGAATAATAATAAAATGAATATAGTAGTTAGGTGTACAACTACCCAATTTATGAGTACATGTGTATATACATTCACAAATGAGACATGTCCTGGTATATAGTTTGTTAAGCTTATGGTTTTTAAAACTTGGCTCAATCTTTTTCAGAATTAGATGGCTGATTTCTAGGAAACAATTTGAAAACAGAATAAAACTTCTACAGCTTGGATTTATTTTGGCAGCAGTATACCAGAGGACAGAAGTGTCCTTTTCCAGAACATACTTTAGTGACAGAACAATTCAGACAATAAAAAGATTATACCTAGGTTCTTTTTATCTCATTTCTTCATATATTGATGGAATAACATCAGGAACAAAACAGACATGAAAAAACAGTATGTGATCTTTTCAAAATATGTCCGTTAAGTCTAAATCCAATCTAATTCTAATAAAACATGATGGAACTAGTGATTTATATAACATTATTATATATAATAATCTAATGTAATTGTGAATAAAATGTAAATAAATGTACTGGAAAAATCAACATAAAAAATACATGAGGCCTATTCTTTCCAAACCCTATCCAGAAAAGAGTCAATCTGCATGCCTAGACTGACTACTGAGGGAATGAAATGTTCTCATTATATTCACTATGCTAAAGATATATACGGCTTCCACTTATGGCCAAGATGGAGTAAAAGAGATCAGATTTACCATCCTACCTGAAACAACTCAAAATCCAGAAAAAATGTATGACACAATGTTCTAATAAAATTGGAATCAGGCAACAAAGGGCAGCGACCCCAGGAGAAATAAACAAATGGTGAGAGCCCTACAACTGACTCAGCTTACTGCCCTGAGAGAGTTTCCAGACCACAGTGCAGAGAAAGGGAATCCAGGTGGAGCCTTGTAAATTCCCTAAGTTGAAGAAATGAAACTGAGTCTAAAAAGATCAAGGCAGTTAGAGTTCGGATGACGCAGTACTTAAGTACAGAAAAGAGCTGAACAGAAAGAACTCCAAAGATCGCCAGAGGTACCACTTGAGAATCAGTAGAGTACTGATCAGCACACACACGTAAGGAAGCAGTACTTAAGTACAGAAAAGAGCTGAACAGAAAGAACTCCAGAGATCGCCAGAGGTACCACTTGAGAATCAGTAGAGTACTGATCAGCACACACACGTAAGGAAACAACTCAAGGCTGGTGAAAGAATTCTCTAAAAGGATTAGTGGAAGTGGTACCTGGCATTCACACAGGGTTGAGTGGGAACAGTTCCTGATGCTATCAGCCAAACTGGAAAACTTCATAACACTGGGTAGAATGCTCAGAAGAATTTGACCTCCCTAGTGGGGAAATCAGACCTAGAATAAACATTGCTTAGGTCCTACTCAACAATTCTAAAAAGCAAGACCCAAAAGGATCAAATTACTTTCAAGTAACTTAACTACATACAAGAAAAAAGTTTAAGAATATTTGTAAGAATACAAAAGCTTCTAGTAACCAACAAGGTAAAATTCACATGTCTGGAATCCAAAAAAAAATTACCAGGTTTGCAAAGAAACAGAAAAAGACAACCTTTAATGAGGAGAAAAATCAATCAAAAAGAATTCAAAACTGACACAGAATTAGCATAAAGAAGTTGTTATTATGACTGTATTTCATACGTTCAAAAGTTATAGACAGGTAAAATATAAAACAGATATTAAAGATATAATGAAGACCCAAGTTGAACTTCTAAAGATGAAAACTATTATGCGTTAAATGAAAAATATAATGAATGAAATTTATTGCAGATTATATATTGTAGCTTCTAACTTAAGAAACTAAGAAAAAAGAGCAAATAAAAAACCCAACTAAGTAGAAGAAGAGAAATAATAAAGACCAGAAAGAAAACCAATGAAAGGGAAATAAGAAAAACAAGAGAAAAAAATCAATAAAACTAAATGCTGGTTCTTTAGAAAAATCAATAAAACTGACATGTTTTCCTAAAGGGCCAAATAGTAAATAGTTTAGGTTTTGTAAGCCAATAGGCAAAATCAAGACTATTACATAGGTACATA